CTTCAGCTGCGGCGGCAACTCATCCTCAGACGAAGATGAGGACAAAGAAGAGGACGAGGACGTTCAGTTCTTGCAGGTGGCCGCCACGCCCGCCAACACCACCTTCCTCCGCCACTTTTGGTTCATCGTCTCCGGCCTGTACTCCTCTTCCAAATTTTTCACCTTCTTCACCACCGCACACCACTTCAGCCCGGCCAGTCTGCGCCGCCTCTCGAAGATCTTTCGCCGCACCGGCGGCCTGCTGCTGCTGTTGCTCGGTGAGCAACAGCCAACAGGCGACTTCTCCTCACTGGTCGCCTTTGCCGCCCCCTGCATCTTCTTCTCGCGGCTGGTGCGAACCGTTCAGGTCAAAGCTGAAGCAGAAGAAGCCTCAGCAGCAGAGGAGACAACAAAGCAAAAGGAGCTTCGATCGGAGATTAGGCGACTTCAGCACCGCCTCGCCGACAGTCTACGACTGGCGGCGTGTCTGAAAGGGGCGAAGGAGATGGCCGAGAAGGCGATTTTGGAGATTGGGGCGAAGAAGTCTGGCGAAAGCAGCGAGGACGAGGAAGAAGAGGTGAAAAATCTTCTGAAGGGCGCCCTCAACTGGATGGAGTACTTTGGTGTGGTGGTCATGGGAGGGCCGGTACAGGAGCTAGGGTGGCTGGAGCCTGAGAAGTCGAAGCAGCTAGCATCATCATTATCATCATGGTCATCGTCATCAGCAACTGCACCTCCTCCCGAGCTGCTTTCAAACTCCTCACAGCAAACTTCTCCTCAGGTGGTGATATGATACTTGTGAACTTCTTTTTGTGGAAGTTTAAGGGAGGACTGCGCGCACATAGAAAAATTTTTCGAATTTTTAGTTTCTTTTACTAGTCAAGGGCATTTTTTACTAAAATCTTTGCACCGCGCGGTACACTTTCCGGCAAGATGGAAGTTGGCATGGCATGATCAGATATGCCAAATGAAAGGTGACAACTCAATTTATATTTTGATCGTCTTCGATTTGCTGATTTAGCTTTACTTGTTTTTTAAATTAATTTTAAAGTTTAACTTTTTTCATTTTTTTCAAATTTTCATGATTTTTTATCCAAAATCTTAAATCAAAAATCGTTCAAGAAAAACTGAGACTTTTTAAAATTAATCGAAGACGATCAAGTTTTAGATTTTTTTGTTACCTTTCATTCGGCACCTTTGATCAAGCCATGCCATCTTCCATTTTGCCGGAAAGTGTACCGCAATGTTCATGAAACGTAAGTCTTTGCTGATGGCGACCCAGTCATTGGAGGACCAAGTTATCTACATAGGACTGCTATACCTAAGATTCTCAATAACTTTTATTGAGTACACTTTTCATGAACATCATAGCCACCCCAAAATCAAAATTCGAAAAAGTAGTAAAAAAGTGCGCGGTGTCCCCCCTTAATAGAAGTTATCATCTGTCTTTCCAGCTACTGCTGTTGTGCTGCTGCTAACTGCTGAAAATGTGTTTCCCCTCAGATCTCCTTCTTCTTCTTCTTCTCTCTCTCTCTCTCTCTCTCTCTCTCTCTCTCTCTCTCTCTCTCTCTCNTCTCTCTCTCTCTCTCTCTCTCTCTCTCTCTTTCTCTCTCAATAAGAGGCAATGAAGCAGTGAATTGGCGGCAGTAATTAGCTTTTTAATAGGCAGCCACCTCGCTCGCTCTCTCAAATGATCTCTGTTAACACTGTCAGTGTTGATGGCTATGGTCAATTAATCTGTTGGTGCCGGTGGTGGTGGTGGTAATGGTAAACAAAAATAACGCTCTGAACACACACACACACACAAGGTCCCTCCAATCCAGCGATGGCTGGTGCAATCATTTTGGAAACTGTGGTGGTGGTGGTGGTGGTGGCAAAAATGGCAACGAGGAAAATCTGAAACTTGTGATTTCACTTTAGGTGAAGTGAAATTTGTTTCTGTTGGAGGATAAGAGAGGCAAATATTTCTGCTGTTGCTGCTGCTCAATTATGTTTAAAGTTTGGTAGGCAATCAAAAAGAAAAAGAAAAAATGAAGGCTCGCCAATTATTTAGGTGAACTTTTTCTGGTGACAAACTCGCTTGTGTGCGTCACAGCAGCAGCAGCAAAATGTGACTAAGTGGACCAAGATGGTGTGCAATCTCTCTTATATTTCTTTCCTCTTTTTTATTTATTAGGTAAGTTTGTCTGTTGGCCTGTTTGTCTGCTGCTGCTCTCAATTGTGTTCTACATTTCATAATCATTGCTAGTTTTTTGTTTTGACAGTTTATCTCAACCACCTGTTGATTTGGTCGTGATTCCCGTCACAAATTGGATTTACCAAGCAAACAGAGGGATTAGAAAAAGATAACTTGAATTGACAAAGGTCACTTTCTGGACAAAATTTTATCGGATCATGAAGATATTACATAGTGACAAGACATTGTCTTCTTCTTTGTCCACCTTTTTCTTTTTTCTTTTGACGACGACAACTGAAGCTCATTCAGCCATGTTAGAGTGACATCAGCAGCAGCGGCAGCAACATTTGCACGACATCGGCAATTGCTCTCTCTTCTTCCCTTCATTCGATTACTGTCTGTCGTGATCGAAGAGCAACAACAGGGGCAAGACTGCGAAAACGAAAGCGAAGACGAAGACGACTTCATCATAATCATCATCATCATCGTTTTCAGTTTCGGACAAACAATCGATAAACTTTTTTTCTTGTGGAGTGCACTTCAAGTGTTGGTGCAAGTGGTGCTGTAGCAGTGCCGGTAAAATACTTTGCACTCATCAGAAGAGAAAAATTGAAAGAAGTTCGTTTTTATGGTTTCGTTGTGATCTACTTTTGAACCTCAAATTCTGAACTGAATTTTGCAACATCAACGAAGCCCAGTTCAAACTCATCAATCTCTCCCCAGGTATGTACCTTTTGGTTGATTATGATTATGCTGATTACGATTACCATTTCTCGCACGTCTGTCTTGTCTTTTAGTTTGCACTTTTCAGTGTGTGTGTTAGGTAATCTCCTCGGCTGCTGTTTAAAAATCAAACTTCATCTCCTTATCTCATAGTGTCTCAGCTGTTGTGAAGGTGGAGGTGATGGCGGTAAACACAAGTGCACAAGTGCAAGTGTGTGTGTGTGTGTGTGTAATCCCTAGCCTTTGCCTGGAAATGTGTCAACTTCTTGTGCAAGAGCAGCAACAGCTGAGGCAAAGGTGAGAGAAAGAGCAAACCGTTAATTGATGCGCCGACGTGGCCTCCGCCACTTATGCCAGCGAATTTCATTTTCTCCCTCTTTCCCTTTCTCTTTTCTTTTTCTTTCAATGATCGTAAATTATCTTCCAAATTTTACCTTCAAGTTTGGACCTATTTGCTTTCCCGTTTGCTTCTGCGCTGACATTGACAATAGTCTGCAGTAGCAATATTTCATGGACTTCTTCTTCTTTTTCTTCTTCTGTAACAGTTGATACATTTCCAAGAAATAGCGGCGACTGCGGCAACGGCAATTTTTTCTTCTTCTTTTCTTTTGTCTGCCTGACTGGCAATTTGAGCATCAATTTAGTGTTTTCCCCTTCTTCTTTTTCTCTCTCCCTAGTTAATATTGATGTTCGGCAGAAGGTGTCAAGTGTGTGTGTGTGTGTGTTCTTCAGCATCAAGATGTTACTTTTTGATCATCGATGACTGTTGACAAACTTTGTCGAAATTAGATACTCTAGGATAAAGTTTTTTTATTTTTTACTACCGATTTGGCCCTCGACCAAATGACATTATTTAACCTTATGGAGCTAATGCTTTTTCGCCCCTCTCGGCGCCGTAATTGAAATCAGCACACTTTTGTTGCTGTTGTCGTCTAATTTGCCTATTTGAAACCTTTCAACCTGCTATCGATGAACAGTTGAGAAAGTTTTAAAGAAAATTAAAAAGCTTTCAGTGCAGCAAAAACCGTTTCTAAATGAAAGGTCATAGTAGCAGCAGCAGCCTTTCTTTCTGAATCTTTCTCCAGCCAAACAAGCTGCAATTTTTTTCCAATAACGTCTCAATAATAATATGTACGTCGCAGTTTAGGAAGAAGCAAAAGTGAACGTGACAGTGAACAGTTGAGCTCAGCTCAGCTCTGAAGTCCTTCCACCACGGACACAGTCACTCAAAAGGAGAAAAACAACCACCACAACCACCACACTGGCAAATGCTCATATGGTGATTAGAGATAGATAGTGTGGAGATAGTAATGATGAAAGTTAATGAAAGTAGAAAAGAGAAAAGGAAAGATGAAAACAGAAAGTGAGAGAGAGTCAGTGAACGAGAAATTAGTTGGAACGGGAAAGTGATAGAAGTGAAAGAAAGAGAAAGAGAAGCAAAGAGAAGAGAGAAAGAATGGTGACCACCACCTGAAGGCGATCGCGCGCTTAATTGGCACATCTTATTCGCCTGCTCCTTCTTCTCCAGCCTCTTCTTTTCTCCTCTTTTCTGGCAGTATATTTTTTTATTTATCACTCAGAGAAAACTGAGTAGTAGTCTTGACTCTGAAAGTCTGACTCTGAACTCCTCTGAAACAAACTAGTACTCATTTCAACCTGCCGCCAACACACACACACATTCGATGCAGTAAAATCGATCCAAAACTTGGCAACTTTTTGTACAACAGCTTTTTATGCAGCAGCAACAAACGCTTTTCTCGCACGTAATTGCTTGGCAGATGTTGCCCCGAAGCGGCGGTAGTTGTTGACGTCTAGCCTTGCTATTGGGAGAAAAAGTACGATGTTTTGCCTTCTTTTTGGCAGCAGCAGCAGCAGCTACTACCTGAAGCAACTACTACCTGTGTTCAAAGTGTTTCTATGATTCTACTAAAATTCTACTTTTTTGACGCATCAGCTGTGAAAAAAAGAGAATGCGTAGTGTTCATCATAAACTGTGATTTTCTTTTCTTCCCTTTTCTTTTTCATCAACTCAACTTTTTTGTGTGTGTGTAATTTATTCGTTTTGTGTAACTCAGTTTTTCTAATTATTTTTTTCTTGCAGATATAAAACCAAAACATCATAATGGGCATCACCGAGCCATCATCCTCACAGCAGGATGATCCAGAGGCGGGCAAGGTGGACTTTAATGAACCAGCACATGAAGAAGAGGAGGAAGAGGTCGACAAGTTGATGGGAAATGATCGGAATAATAACAACAACCAAAATGGCCACAACCAAAACGGCAATCGCCAGTCACAGTTTATCCAACTGCAAATAGAGGTCACTGAAAAGTCCTGCAATTTACCCTCGTCAAACACCTCTTCCTCCAAATCTCGATTCACCATTTTTGGCTACGCCCCCTCCCAAATAAAATGGCTGAACGTCCTCTGGCTGGCTTTCATTCACCTGCTCGCCCTAGTCGGCTACGCCTACCTCGCCCTCTACCCCGTCAAATTCTGGTCCGTCTGGTGGACCATCTTCCTGGGCCTGATCAGTGGTTTCGGAGTTTCAGTCGGGGCTCACCGCCTCTGGGCACATAAAAGCTTCAAAGCGACCTGGCCGCTGCGATTTTTGCTGGTTCTTCTGGAGACGCTCTCAATGAACGGGGGCTGCTATTCCTACGCCCGAGATCATCGGTGTCACCACAAATTCGTCGACACCAATGGCGATCCGAAGAATGCAAAGCGGGGCTTCTTCTTTGCCCACATCGGTTGGTGGATGCTGAAGAAGCACCCCGACGTGCTGGTGATGGGCAAGAAGTTGGACCATCGAGACCTCGATGAGGAGCCGCTCATCGTCTGGCAGCGGAAGCTCTACTTTCCCCTCTTTTTAATTTTGAGTGTCGCCATGCCCACTTTTGTCCCCTGGTACTTTTGGGACGAGGACCCGTGGACGGCCTTTTTTATTGCCTCTGTCCTGAGGACCGTCGTCGTTGTACATCACCTCTTCACGGTCAATAGTATCGCACATATTTTTGGCAGCAGGCCGTACAATACGAGCATTGGGCCGACGGAGAGTAAGCTGACGATGTACCTGTCGATGGGAGAAGGTGAGTTTGTGAAGGAGGAGGAGGAGTTTTTGTGAGTTTATTTTGATTAATTAAACCTTTTACTGTTTTTAGGAAGTCACAATTATCATCACACCTTCCCGATGGACTACGCCAACTGTCAGAAACCGTTTTGGGAGGTCTTCAACCCGTCGACGCTTTTTGTCGATATCTGCCAGCAGCTCGGCCTGGCCAGCGACCTGAAGAAGCCCTCGATGATGGTGGTGCGAGGGGTGGTCCATCGAAAGGGTGATCCAACTTTCTACGAGAAAAAGCTGCTTCGAGAGCAGCCTCTATCTCATCGAATCTTCAGCGGCCTCAATGACTGGTCAATGGGCATCTTTGTCGCCGGCTGGGCCATCTACCCGCCCATCGTCTTTAAGGTGATCACTGGAAGGCAGCTGATTTCGCTTTGAGAAAAAAACAGATTGAGAAGAAGTTTGGTTTGATTTGTAGCTTTAGTCCTTCATTTGTTGCATCTTCTTCTTCTTGTTTTTCTTTTTTGTTCAATTCTCTTCTTCCTTCACCTGGTGCCATCCTTACTTCCTTTCCTTTTTCCCGCTTTTCATCTATTTTTGGTTACTTTTTTGGGGATGATACTTTTAACCCTTTTATCCTTTTTTCCTCTGCTCATTATCACCATCTTCTTCATTGCCCCCTCTCCCTGCTTCTGCTCAAAGCCAGTCATTTGCTTTTTGCTTTTTTTCTATTTTTGTACAAAGTTCCTTTTCCTTTTTTTACTTGATAAAAAAGTACTGTATTTGCAAGTGTTTTCAGTGTTTGTCTCAGTAATTTTAGCAATGTTTCCCCAAGTGTTGTTATTGTGGTTTGAGGTTGTTTACGTTGTTATTGAGCATTCAGGCATAATTAGTGCACTCAGCACACAGTTAACAACAATAACACATTCGAGGCTAATTATGTTTGTTTACTATCTCTTTCTCTTTTTCAGTCTTATGATTCTCATTATCTAAACCACCACCACCGCCGCCTAAGTGTCGCCTTTAATTGAACTGAATGCTAAAGACTTCTCAAAGCTTGCTCGTACTTGACAGGTTTCCCACACACAAACAGCTGCTCAAGTGTCTTTGAATCTCTCTTTTCTCTCATTTTCACTCTTCTTTACTCTCCTCCCAAAGTTCAACTATTATTGCACTTGTAGGCTGAAATAATAGCACCACCACCACAAGACAGCGAAAAATTTGAATATGAAACATCGAAGAGGAGGCTGAAGTTCAGGACTCTTCGACTCTCTTCGGTGATCAGAAATCAGCCAGTCAGTCAGTCAGTCAGTAGTTAATAATGCGGTAATGAGCGTACTATCGTTTTGACGTCACTCGTAAAGACTTACTCTTTCCAACCGACGACGGACTACGTTCAGAAAGTCACGGAAGACAACGGAGAACGAGTAAAGAAAGAGAGAAACGAGTTAACGGTCTCTGTGTTTCAGCAACAACAACCTGTGCTTCGTTGTCTCGGGCAAAAAGTACGCAAAAGTGCGCAAAAGGTTGCACATGTGTTGGTTGGCAACCGAGACTAAAACCGGATCTGAACTGAGCTGAGCTGTCCGGGAAAAGAGTGGACGATGTTGATGATGATTGTCTGTGTTGCCCTGTCTACTAAAGCAGATTATGCTCGAAAGTAAAAGTGGTGAAGAGAAAGATGGAGAAAGTTGTAGAGAAAAAGAAAGAGAAAGTCAAGGAGAGAGTCAAAGAGTCTTTACTGGTCATTTCCTGTTGGCCACTCTTTTAGAAGCTCACTCTACAAAGTCTTCCACAGTGGATTGTCTTCTTCTAACCAAACACAATTTAGCTTCAGTCAGTAAGCTGTATCCTCGGTCTGAGGACATTATCATCATCGACTTTGATTTGATTTGCAATATCCGTTTTTAACAAAATCATCATCATGGATCCTCAAGAAGATCTACAGTCAAAACCAATTCCTGTGGCTGAAAAGTCCCTCTCACTGGAGATTGAAGTCTATCGAGGAGGCCTCGGTGATGGCCAGCAAAGCGCAGTTCCCGTTCCAAAGAGCATCTTCAAGCAGATCTACGCTCAGGTGAGCAAGGTAAAGTGGAGCAATGTGATCGTCCTTATCACGGCTCATCTGCTTGCTGTCATTGGGTACTACTACAACTGCACACATGACATCAAATTGCATACCGTCTTTTTTGCCGCATTTATTGGCCTCTTTTCGGGTGAGTATTTTTTCTGTAGATTATTTGATAAAGTTTTAACAATTTTATGATTTTTAGGTCTAGGAATGTCTGTCGGAGCGCATCGGCTTTGGTAAGCTAAAAAAGAATTTTTTTAAAATTGAATTTTAACTTTTTGGTTTTTTAGGGCTCATCGATCTTTTAAGGCTCGATTACCTTTAAAACTTTTCCTCGCCGCTTTTCAAACCATGACCATGAACGGCAGCGCCTTCAGCTACGCCCGAGACCACCGAACGCATCACAAGTACTCGGACACTGATTCCGACCCAAAGAACCCGAGCAGAGGACTTTTCTACTCTCACATTGGCTGGTGGTGCCTGAAGAAGTCGGCCACGGTGAAGGCGGCTGGAAATAAGCTCGACTTCAGCGACCTCCGCGACGACTGGGTCGTCTGGGGCCAGCACCGATTCTACGTTCCACTGTTTATCATCTTGGGCATTGGCTTTCCCGTGGCGGTTCCGGTGTACTGTTGGGGTGAAAGTCCAATGACCGCCTTCTATCTTTGTGGGGTGATTCGAACTGTGGTGGTGCTGCATCACCTTTTTACCGTTAATTCGATTGCGCACTTTTTCGGTCACCGACCGTACGATTTTCGAATTCGGCCGACGGAGAATCGACTGGTTATTTACCTGTCAATGGGAGAAGGTAATTATTGAAAACTTTTAAAAAAATTTTAAATTGTAACCATCTGTTGATTTTTAACAATAGGAAATCACAACTACCACCACACTTTTCCATATGACTACTCGAGCAGTGAAAAACAGGCTTGGGAGTTCTTTAATCCCTCGACACTTTTTATTGACCTTGCTGCTGCACTAGGCCTAGCCTATGACCGGAAACGGGCGTCCAGGGCGGTCATTGAGGGTACGATCAAGCGAAAGGGAATTCCGGCGCACTTTGACGCTCCGAGAGGAATTGTTTTTCGGGTGTTTTATGGCATCTTTGACTGGATTTTTGGCCTGCTCTTTGCCTTGTGGCCCGTCTACCCGATCCTTCTCTTCAAGTACCTGACCGGGCGGACAATTGTGCTGTTTTAAAAGTTGAATAATCAAATCAAAACTGCAATGTTGATCATTGTGCAAACTTTAGTTCTCATATTTTTCCCCTTTTCTCTTTTTTTATTTTTTTCTTTTCATTTTCTCATTTGTTGTGTTAACCATCATCATTTCTATTAGCTGTTGTGGCTTCCGCTTTTTCTCTCCTTCTCGTCTTCTCATTTGCTCATTTTTTCTTTCTTACCTTTGTATTTTTTTGCCAAATGCCTTTTATACCTGACCAAATACACTACACTGCTTCTAATTTGTAACTTACTTTATTTAAATAAAAGTGTAAACCAAATAAAAACTTTAAAAATAAGGGGCAGAAGGCGGGGGTCTAGTCATTCAATACGTTTTTTCTGGAGATTTTACCGCTTCTCCCGGTTAAATGACTGTAGCCCCGCCGCCTTCTGCAAACAAAGAATGCTCAAGCAGGTTTTTATACCCTGCTCAAAGGAAAGGCTGCATCTGCCGACAGGCGCTAAGCAGGAGAAGATCTGATAAGAATCTCGTTCCACAAAACTGAAAAAGTTTCAGAAACTTTAAACCAAATTTTTATTGACTTTTTGATATCTTTTATACGCAACCTGTTGCACGGAAGTCTGCTCTACCAATTTGCCTTTTTAGTTGACAGTTTTAGGTGCTCAGAGTGCTGGGTAATTATTTAATCAGCCGTCAACTGAGCTGAGATTTTTTTTCTCTCGGATAAATCAGTGCTGCTGTTGCTGTTGCTGTTGCTGATATCAGCGACTTCGGCGACTGTGTAACTGTTGTTTGCTGTTATCATCTGCTGCTGCTGATCGTTGTGAGTGGATAATCGTCGTTGTGCAGCTAATCGTTTGTCAGCATTTCCCTCTCTTTTTCAGTGATTGCTGCTGATGAGAAAAAGTGCTCTCTCGAAACTAACAAGTCAGTGGCAGTGGCCGTTTAACTCAGTCGACAGTAATTAGAAATATGAATGTTGTGAATGAAATGTCAAACCACCACTACTACTGCTGCCACTACTACAACTGGGGAAAAATAGCAAAAGTGTCATTCACTCCAACACAAAAAAGTGCATGCACTCACACTTGTTTTTGAAATTTTTGGCGGCAGTTTGCCACTTTTTTTGTTGTTTTGAGAAGACGACAGAAAAACGAGTTAATTAATTGTGCAATGTCACAGAGTAGTAGTTTCAAAACAGGCAAGACTATCTGCCTGAAAAAAAAATTAAAAAAGACATCAGAAAAGCAATTTAAAAAAATCTTTTTGCTACTGTCCATTTTTATTCATTCATTTTTTTCTGTCTCGAGACCCCACTTTAAACTTTGGCCCTCTTTTTGGGGGCTGACCTTCTCCTCCTCCTCCTCCTCCTCTTCTCAATTTTCAATTTTCTTCCCTTCTTTCCTAGCCGTGTGAATGTCCTGCGGGCAATGTGTCTCCGTCTTCGTCTCCGTCTGTGTGTTTAGAGGGTAGATCGCCTTCTTGTTGGCTGCTGCTGTCGCACACATCTGCTACCTTTTCTTTCTCTATTCCCTCTTTTCTCTCTCCTCTTCTCAGTTTTCTCAGTGTTCTTTCCTTTGTGAGTCAATGGAGAGGTATGTGGCCACCACCAGCACATGTGTGGTGGTAAGCAGGCAGGAAGGCCAGCCTGCACTTTTGGAGTCTGCTCAGCTCAGACACTGCTGTCTGAGCACTGCTGCAAAGTTTGAGCCTGACACGACAAAGCTGCCGCTGCTGTGAAGTGCTTCTGTGGAGACAGTGTCATCAGAAACAGTAGTAGACAGCTTTGGGCATGTTTTTGTCTGCCGTGGTTTGCCCTTTTTCAGTCACCGACTTCATCTTCATCTTTTGCCCTTTTGCTGCTGTAACAGTGATCTTTCCCATCTTTGGTGACCACTATCATCACCTTCATCATCACCTTCATCATCACCTCTTTAGTTTGTGATCATTTTAATTTCTGAAGAAAGTAATTCAGAGTTTCAGAACTTCATCATCATCATCATCATCATCGCTACCACCGTTGTCTAATGGAGCTTAAGGTAAAGAACAGTTCTAGAGCAGAATTTGAGGATTCTTTAGATTCTAACCTTTTTACGATAATCCTAGGTCTGGTGCGAAGGCATCCCTCGAGTGGTTTGCGGCGCCTCCGCCACCACCACCTGCCAGGACGTGGTCTTCGCCCTGGCCCACGCCACCGGCCAAGTTGGGCGCTTCATTCTAATTGAAAAGTGGCGCCACTGTGAACGGGTCCTAGCGCCGAATGATCGGCCCCTCGCCTCGCTGCTTAAATTCGGCGAGTACGCCGCCGATGTGACCTTTGTGATGAAGAAGAGCGGCGAGGTTTCCACTGCCTCAAACTCAAATTCAAACTCAGCCCAAAACAATGGCGGAAAAGTAAACAATGGAGCCGAAAGAGGAGGAGGAAATCAACGGACTACTCTTTTTTTAAATAGTAGTGGAGGCAAAAAGTCGGACAATGAACTTCTTCATCATCAGCAGCAAAGAAAGGTGCTCCAAAATTCGGATCAGAATGTTCCTCCCTCTCAGCCTCAACCTCAACCTCAACTTCAGAGCGTCATGTCCACCTCAAAGTCCGCTGGAGCACTATCAGCCTATCAAAATAATAATAGTTTGAACAACAACTATTCTTCAGCAACCCTGCCCCACCGAGGCCACCGCCCGGAGCCCTTTGTACGGTCGATCTCCTTTCACAAGCCCGCCGAGCTTCAGCTGGCCAATGGTGGCGAGGTGATACTATCGTCGTCTACTAGTCACCATCCCAATCACCACCACACCTACTCGATGTCAAGAAGTGGAGTTAACTACGTTCCAGTCTCAGGGGTGAATGGTAGAACAGGAGTTTATCAGGAAGCAAAACACGAGCCAATCTACTCCACTAAAGCTGGTGCTCAGAACAACAGCTCCAGACCGCCCCAGCCGCCGCCCTATCAGGAGGCCATTACCAAGAGTTCGCTGTTTAATGGAGGCAACAATTCCAATTCCAATTTCAACCCCAGCTCCAACGGAATCTACGGCTACATTGGAGGAAACACAGCTAAACAACAGCAGCTAAATTCTAGTCAACAACAACAACAACATCAGCAGCAGCAAACCAATGGCCTTGCTTATCAGCAGCAGCATTATCAAAACAAGCAGCAACAGCAGCCCAATCCACTTCACGAACACCAGCGAATGAACATGATGAACAGCAATGGAACTTCAAAGAATCAACACCTCACCAAAAATCACCTTTCCTACCTTCAGCAGGAGACGAGAAGCATCATCGATGCTCAGCAGCAGACGATTAAAAAGCAGGAAAAGGTACGGGAGTTTTAGGAGTTATTTTCTGAGGTTTTAAAACTTATTTTCAATTTTTATCAGGACATGGTCACCATCGACCAGGAGTTAAACGCAGTTCAAAGACGCCTATCAGCAAACGAACGAGTCGTCGCACAGTACCGCGCCGAGATGGACTACCTCCACGAGATTTGGCTCGACCAGGAGGCCCTTTTGGGGCGTCTTGAGGCGGAGAACCTCGAAGAGGAGCTCGAGCGACTGATCACCGAGGCGAAGGCCTATGAGGACGAGCTGGCGGAAGTTCGATCGAGGTTGTCCACCTGCGAGGCGGACATCGCCCGAAGTCGTGAGCAGATTAGCAGTCTGATGGTGCAAGTGGACGAGGCAGCTAAAGCTAAAGATAAGGAAAGGAAAAAGGAGGAGGATAAAAGTGAAAATGAGCAGCAGCAGCAGGCAAAGCTGTACAGTTCGTTGCAAAAGTCCATTCTCGAGAAAACAAAGGAAATTGAGTCTCAGGTACAAAATTTGACAGCTTTTTTTGAACTCCTTTTCTAATAACTTTCTGTTTTTAGAAACTCGACCTTAACCTCCTCTGCGCCTCAATTGAACGCCTCGACCAGACAATTCAGGACAAGAATGGCATCATCGATCAGCTCGTGGTGGAGATCAAGGACGCCAATGTCGAAGGCCTCAGTCTCAGTGGAGCGTTGAAGGGCTCTTCAGCGGGTGATGGACTTACAGTTCGACTTGATGAGAGTCACCCGCAGAATCAGAAGTCTCAGCAGAGCTCTAATCATCAGATGCTGATGCAGAATCCGCTGAACTCCACAACTTCAACAAGTTCAAGCTCAACTCGGAAGATCTCCGTCCTGCCGAGTGAGCTGGGGAACACTGTGCCGACGAAGAAGAATCCCGACGGAATTTGGGTCTAGAATTTTTTTTTCAGTACTTTTTTGCACTTACTTACTTACTTGCCTACCTTTTCACCCAACGACTTATCAATAGTATTATTTTTTTCTTCTCCTTATTATTACCTACCAATTCCGCTTACAATTACGAACTACTACCTGGACAACAGACCAATAACACCAATTGATGATTTGCACTAATTTAGTGTATTTTAAAATGTGTGCAAATTAGGCAAACAAATCGTTTACCAAAACAGTTTATCTTCTTTTCCGGTTTCGGTTTTGGCTTTGGTGAAAGCAGAAACAAGAGTTGTGGTGATTGATTGGAGTGGAAAGTTTTTTCGCCTTGTTAGCTCTTCTCAAAGTGAGCTTTCCTTTCCTTTCCTCTTCGCTCGCTTTTGCCCAGACTGAGCAATAGAGGGAACACTGTGTTTGGGGAAATAGGATAAACGAGAGTGAGAGACATAAACAAATCGTGCACCGCTGCTGCTGCTGTTGTCCCAATTGGCAGCCGCTAACTGAAGACTCTATTCTATTGACTGCAAAAGACGGGATCAGTTTCACCACCACCACCCGAAGTTTTTGCCAAGTAAGCCAAAACAGCTGCCATTCATCTTGACATACTTACCAGTAGTCGGGATTTCACACATATTCTCTCACTTCTCTTCAGTTTAACCTAGATTATCTGCTGAAGAGGAGGAGGATTCTGTGCAGTGATTGGCAGTCGTCGTCGCTTTTTTTGCCGCATCGTCATCTTCTTCTTCTCGTTTTTCTTTTTCACCAGTCACTGCCAATTCATTCCCGCGGATTCAGTAGTTGTGTGGTGATTTCGAAATCGTTCTCTCCTTTTTTCTATTTCTGTGCAAAACTTACCAACACTGCCGCCGTCAAAGCCGTGAGAAATCTCAACTAACTACTGTACAATTTCTCCTGTACAGTTTCTTTCTTCTTCCGACGATGATTGCCTGCTTTTGAGGCTTAGGTTCATTTATTCAGTCAGTCAGTCAGTCATCCAAGTTGAGGTATCCTTTTTTCGGGTGCAACACCTCACTTTTCAGCCGCTTCTGTCGCCTCGTCCAATTAACACACCACAATCTCTTTCAAATTTTTACTTTTTGCCAGTCATCCTGATCATCGGCGATTGAAAAGAAGAAAAACAAGAGCCGCTGTTTTTTCTCGCCCCTAATTTGATCAATCATCACATTTCTTATCATCACCTCACCTCATCACCACCTCAAAATGCTCTACTACTGCGGCTTTGACACCTTCCTGCAGTTCCGGCAGAAGAGCGGCAAAAACAACGTCTTCCTCCAGCCACTCTCCGACCTGGTGCTCGACCGCCAGGACAAGGTCATCAACGCCTTCATCGGCTGGTGCTCCCTCTTCCTACAGACCGGAAAAGGCCAAGTCCTTTACCTGGGCTACTCCAAAGCAAAAACAAGCCCATCAGGGAAACCTGAACCAGAAAAACGGAACGACATGGTCGTCTGCTCTGAGGTGCCCAAGTACATCGTCAACATTGAGTGTGCCTCACAGGCGACCTTCCTTCTCACCCTTGATCTTGATCTCTACAAGTGGTCAGTAGTTTTAGTAGTTTTTTTATAAAAGCTTTTGTTGTTGAATCTAAGAATCTATTCTTTTTTAGGTCTGGATTCAACTTTGCCAAGACATTCCCTACGCACATTTCCCTCGACCCAAACGCTAGCAGCAGCAATAACAATGATGACCCCACCCAAAATTCAACAATCACAATAGCAAAATCAGGTAACGGATTTTAAACAGATTTTAACAGTACAAAACAAAATTACTGACTCACTCAACATTTTTTCCCTTGCAGACGCTGACAACAATAATACCAGCGTACAAAAGAAAGAAGACAGTTGTACAACAACTGCAACAGCATCACCAGCAGCAGCCATAAATAACTCCACCAGCAGTGACAATCCCCACTCATCAGCAGCACCTCTAAAAGCCGAACAGCTGTGCATTGGCGTGGAGTTTAGCTGCCTGCTGACAGACCACGGCCAGGCTTACCTCTTTGACGTGGCCAGCGGGACCTTGGGGGCCCTGCTCACCGAGGAGAGCATCGTCGCCGTCAGTGCCGGTCAGGAGCATGTCCTCCTTTTGGCTGAGGACGGAACCGTGCTTAGTTTTGGCCATGGAAGTCGAGGCCAACTCGGTCATGGGACGTTGGAGAATGTTTCAGAAAAGGCGATTCCCATTGAGGCGTTACAAGTAAACAAATTTAGGTTTTTGAATCTAAATCTAATTATCACAAAACTTTCCTAGGGTCTCAAGTGCAAAGCCATTGCCGCCGGGGGCTGGCACTCTCTGGTCCTCTCCGAGGCCGGCGACGTTTACGTCTTTGGGTGGAATGAATCTGGCCAGCTGGGCCTGAGCAGGACCTCGACGCCGGCCGTGCAGGCACTGCCCAGCCTGCTGGAGATCTCCGAGGATGACGCCTTCAGCTCGGTGAGCGCCGGCTCCCGCCACTCGATGGCCCTCTCCGAGAATGGCCTCCTCTTTGGCTGGGGCTGGAACAAGTGGGGCCAGCTGGGGCTCGACCCGAGCACGGTCGCCCTCGTCGACACGCCCACGGTCATTCCCGTCGACGAGAAGGTGGCCACGGTGTGCTGCAAGTTCTGGGCTAGTTTGATTGAGACGGAGCGGGAGAATGGCGAGAAATGAGTGTCAGGCAGTGAGGGGAATAAAAACGTTTTATTAAAATAATTGTTAGTTGTGTTTTACTAAGGAAACGGTAATTTTTTCAAGAGGTTTGGATTAGCTGTAAAGTATGTAGTGGATTTTTGAGTTTGAGATTGCTTTTTTATTTTGGTTGCTTGACGACGGTGTCTACGTGGCATTTATAAAACTTATTATCGAAAATCAGTCGTTTATTGGTTGAGTAAAAGAAATGCAACTTACAATTATTGATACTTTATGAGCATTTGTTTGTGTTCATCATAATTAGAGTTTACATTAAAAACAAATTTTTTGCTACAATTTTCAGACAATTTGTTTTTTATACAAATGGAAGATTACATTGAAAATTTTGAAAAGGTAAATGATCATAAATTTAAAAAAATTGAAACTTTGTCACTATGTGTTTTTAGGTTTGGAATGATAATCGTCACAAAATCCTCAATCTTGAAATTGAAAATTTAAAAAGTATTCTGTCTTCTGAAAAACTAAAAAATGGTAGTCAAAAAACTGTCTGGCAGGTGATTCACGATTGGGTAATTCTTAACAAAAAAGATCGTTTGACGCATTTGCCAAATTTGCTTAAAGAAAACCTTCAGTTTGACCGTTTGACCAAACACTATGTTGAAGAAAACATTTTCAAAAATGTCATTTTTATGCTTCTTCCACTTAATTTTCAAACTGATTTAAAAAACTTTTCAAAAAATGTCAAATTTCAAGATAAACTAAATAATGACAGTTTTAACTTGCCTAATTTATCGCCTGTCATCAACTATGGTCATCGGAAACTTCTTTGCATTAGCAGAAAAGATGGTTATTTAGAAATCTATGATCAGCAACACAACAGTTGGCACTCATCACCAGCATCACTAGGACTGCCAAATAAACAAAATTATTTTGAACTCGCACTGCTTGGCAGTATGCTGTACGCATTTGGTGGTAGGGATAGTAACTATTATGCTCTCGATAAGATGTGGAGTCGTGACCTGAGTGATCCCTCGTCTCAGTGGACAGCCAGGGCAGACATGAAACAAAGCAGATGGGGGTATTGCAGTGTCGTCCTCAATGACACCATCTACGCTCTAGGTGGATGGGACAAGAACTATCTTCGTTGTTGTGAACGCTACTGCAGTCAACTGAATGAGTGGTCAACAGTGGCAGACATGAACAGTGACCGTATTTATGCCTCAGCAGCAGTCATCAATGGATGCATCTATGTTGCTGGAGGATATGATGGAAAGAGAGTTTTAAATTCAGTCTGTAAGTACTGCCCTGAGACTGACACCTGGAGGGAGGTGGCACCGATGACCACTGGACGCAAAGACTTTGCCCTGACCCCCTTTGCCGGTCGTCTCTGGGCCATAGGGGGTAGGGGTGGGGATAGGGGTAGGGATGGTGACAGTCNGGACGCAAAGACTTTGCCCTGACCCCCTTTGCCGGTCGTCTCTGGGCCATAGGGGGTAGGGCTGGGGATAGGGGTAGGGATGGTGACAGTCAGCCATTGAGCAGTTGTGAGTCCTACGACCCAGTGACTGACACCTGGCAAGAGGAGGCACCGATGAAGGGGAAGAGATGGAAACATTCAGCAATTGAATTCAATGGGGAATTGTATGTTGTCGGGGGTGGAAATAAAGTTAAAAAAGGTAAAACATGTAAAATAAACGTATGCAAAAATGGGTTAAAAACAAAATACTAAAAATCATTTTTACTTTATTTTTAGAAAATGCAACTTTACATGTTGTTGACCCAGTTTTAATTGTAGAAAAATACTTGCCTAATAAAGGCTGGTTCAGAAGTGGTACACTTCAAAATAATATTCTATTTGCCAAACTGATAATTGTTCTTAGTGTTTGCTCAAATATTTTTATTGCTGATTCTAAATAAAAAAAGTTTACAAAAACTATAAAATGTTTGCTCTACTTCTGCGGTTTTGACACCTTCCTGCAGTTCTGCCAGAAGAGCGGCAAAAACAACGTTTTCCTCCAGCCACTCTCCGACCTGGTGCTCGACCGCCAGGACAAGGTCATCAACGCCTTCATCGGCTGGTGTTCTCTCTTCCTCCAAACGGGCAAAGGTCAAGTCCTTTACTTGGGCTACTCCAAAGCAAAAACCAGTCCGTCGGGTAAACCTGAGCCGGAAAAGCGGAACGACATGGTCGTCTGCTCCGAGGTGCCCAAGTACATCGTCAACATTGAGTGTGCCTCGCAGGCCACTTTCCTTCTCACCCTCGATCTGGATCTCTACAAGTGGTCAGTTTTATTACCTTAAAGTTTCACTAAAAATCTAAGATCTTTTACTAAAATTTTCTAGGTCTGGATTCAACT